AAACCATTTTCAGACAAACAAACATGAAATGTTTTGTTCCAATTCAGGCGACTCGTCTATACTTGTATGTTGTGCGCATCACATAGTAATCTAGGCTAATAATCGGAATAAGAACACATAATGTTTTCAAAAATAGATATCATTGTTAGTAGAGGCTGGTCTCTGACCGGGCGAGCAGGGGTGCTCACGAAGTGACCTTCCCCAATCGTACCCAAGTTCCCGAGCCGAGGCAACTTTGGTAATGACGGACACGTAGCCTTAGGCAAACGAGTCAGGGTTTCCTAAATTTCCCAAAAATAAAATATTTAGGTGGCGACTTTGTATCTGGCAAAGCAGTCCATGTTTGGCACTTCTTTCAAGATCTGTTTTCTCAAAACGATTTGCCGAATTTGGACTCTTTGGTTCAGATTTAGAACCGTGACAATTTTAGAGTCCTGAGCTATAGTGACCCCAAAATGAACGGAACGGGAGCTCGTTCCTCCCGAGGCGTTCGGGGACGTCTACAGGTTGGTGAAATTTTTAGCTAGGTCTGGATTTTTGGTGTGTGGTTGAGATTGGTTGAGCAATTAAGTTGACCCCACTTGTGAGATTATCGTAATCTTCATCCTTTTTTTTTCTTTTTTTTTTAACGTGGTAAAATCCATTAAGGAGAAGCCAAACAGCACTTACAAATGGACTCCATGCCAAAGCAGAAAGAGTTTACACTAAACAAAGGAAAAATGAGCAAAGAGGCACATAGGTAAAGCTAAAATAGCATCAAAGACATGATCAAAACAAGATCCTAACCCGCACTGCAACGCAGAAGCGATCATAAGAGATCAACACTAGGGCTAGCCAGAGATACCACAAAAGCTTTCACCCCAGAGAGGGTAAGCTACCAATAAACACACCCATGGAGTCCAAACAAACAAACAAACTGAAAAAAAATAAAAATAAAGCTCAAAAAGCCATAGATCTGGAGGGTGAGAGTTATCAGATCTGGTGGAGAATGGTCGCGGCGTGGTGATGGTGGCTTCTGCGGTGAAAGAAGGCGAAGGGTGGTATAGATCTGGAGGGATGGAGGGAGTTAGCAGATCTGGTGGAGGATGGTCGCGGCGTGGTGATGGTGGCTTCTGCAATGAGAAATGGCAAAGGGCTATAGAACTGGCGGCGAGAAACGACATATCTTGCTCCGGCTTGGAGGGGGAGGAGGAGAAAGCTAAAAAAAAAACCCACCCTAAGGGGAAGAAACACCTTAAAAAGAGAGAGAGCTTAGGAAGAAAGAGCTCCCAAAGATTATTTTCCAGGAAATAGAAGAAAAAAGAAGGGAGAAAGGAGGGAGGCCGAAACCCCCCTCCCCCTCTCAAGCGGCACACTCTCTGAAAATACCCTAAGAGAGAAAGACTTAGAGAGAGAGAGAGAGAGAGATCATAATCTTCATTTGGGTTTAACCCTTTTGGGGATACGTATGTTTTTAAGTTGTTATGTCTTCAATCATGTCCTTATCTTTGTGGGTCTTATGTTGTGTCATACAGTTGTATGGGCTCAATTCTGGAATTTTAGTGAGAAATCAATTTGAAGAATTCAATTTGGATCATTTTCTTGAAGGATCTTGGTTTTAGTTTGTGGATTGGATTCACAGAGAGAGAGAGTTGATAGAAAAATAAATAAATGAAACTGATTGATGACAGAAGGAAGAGAAGATAGGATGAGAAGAGAAAAGAGAGTGAGAAGAGAGAAGTGTTGGAATAAAATAATTATAATAATTATGGACAAATTAAAAAGTGACACGTGCATCACATAAGTGTAAAAAATTAACAGAAACAAACGAAAATAGATGGAGGGTCAACATTGAGACACAAATAAAAATTCAGGGTTTAAATTGTTAAAATTAAAATGTTAGGATTTAATGTGAAAAACACGCCAAACCCTCGAGTATTTTTTTCCACTTTTTTTATTTTATTTTTTTTTAGGAAAAATTACTCATAAATTCCATATGGGAAAATGTTGCTCCATTTAGTCCTAAATATTTTTTATTAAACCATTTAGTCCTTTTTTTTTTGGTATGTTGTATTTGTTTGTTATATTAATGTTTTGATTTTACTTGTGTACCCTTGTTTTACTATTAGTGGGTATGTGTGGATAAGGTATGTGGTTAACATTACTATACTGTTAAGAAGGCATCTGCGAAGTGATTTTTGGGGGTGATAGTATTGCCCACTTGATGTATATTCTTATCGTGAAATATTTTCTTTACATGTAGGTTTGGTTATCAGGTATTCTACTTAGCCCATTAACATCAACAAGCACAACATCACCACTAAAAACCAATGTCAGAAGCTTGTGTCAATAACATTGCAAATTTGGGTAAGAATATAACATACACGGAGGAACTTTGCCCTAAATTAACATTGCGAATTAAATTGGGTAATGTGTCAATACAACAACCATTCACAAACCCAACAATCAAAACTCAAAACACACAGTTCATATTCCCAAAATACGTAAACAATTTCAGTTTACAGAGCTACACACGTTTGGGTTTCATAGAAATCGACAGTAATTCCAGGAATGGCTTAATCGGCGGCATAGGATACACTTACAGACGACGTCCCTCAATGTTAATACAATCACCGGAGAAGATGAAGCTAACCCTTGTCCGTCACAGTCCACAATGCTCTTACTCAATGTGCGTAATGCAAGGAACCAACGTAGCGACATCGGCACTTGTGGCCGTTCGCTACATTGCCGATTTATCACCAAACCTCACCTATTTCACAATAAGCCAACCATGTGCACACTCCTACTTTATAGTCATACAATTGCAGTTTAATTGAATTTTTATGTCAATTTACATGTTTATTACGTTTTCCATTAGATCATGAATTACTTGTTACCGTAGCAATAATATTTATTTTTTGAATGTCCGTTGTGGTGTACGAATTCACGACAAGCTCAGCATATCAATACATCGTTCCATGTGCCGTTGATCCGAACCAACGAGGAAAGGAAAAAATTTAATTCGATCTTCAATGTTTTCTGCCAGCCCACTGCTTTTTTAGTCACATTATATGGTAAGTTGGTTGGTATGATGTGAGTGTACATCGTATCGTCGGTTCAGCTGGGTGTTTGTTACCAACCATTCAGGCCATTAACATCATTCGTCATAGGTTCGGCTAATGTCAGTCACAACACATGTAACACCACCATTGGACACATTCAAAAACAACTTCAACTTGCCAAGCCACCAAAACACATTTCAAAAAAACCCACTAGATTTCATGCAACATTATACTACTTCCCCCAACACAAGATTGATTGTTGTTCAACATTTCACCCACAGTGCAAAATGAAAGGCCAAAAAATATACCTATAATCCTGTAGGAACCATGTATCCATATTTGAAGTCAAGATTGATTGCTATTCAACATTTCACCCACAGTGCAAAACAAAAAAAAAACAGAAAATATACCTAAACACATTACGTACCTAACAACAACGTTACTGGCTTTTGCCTCACATGACGCACGATTAAGTAAATTCATTCATCAACATTTTAACATTCAAAAACCAGCATTAATCTGTAGCAATAATATGTATTTTTTGAATTTCCATTGTGGTGTACGAATTCACGACGACTTCAGCTTATCAATACGTCATTCCCTGCGCCGTTAATCCGAACCAACGGGAAAGGAAAAAATTTAATTCCATTTTCAATGTTTTCTGCCAGTCCACTGCTTTTTCCGTCACATTATATGGTGAGTTGGTTGGCATGATGTGAGTGCACATCGCATCGTCGGCTCATTTGGGTGTTTGTTATAAACCATGCATATGATCACACAAAAGTTGTTATTCCTATTACACCGTACCTAATATCGACACATTCTTTAATTCTTAAACACATAAGGTACCGAAGTTTATTCAATACTTAAATTTTGTGTACATCCGTCGAAAATAACATTAAAAAAATAACATTACACACTCATAGCATTAGTAGACTTGTAAACAGGGGACCACGACCACCACAACATCACCTAACATTGCACTCATAACATCACACACCAATGATCACACATCACACACGAATTGCCCAACACACCCCAATACATATTTCACACTTGTGCCAGTAACTACTACATTAACGAAAAAAAATAATAAAAACCCACTAACCATTAACACATACACAAAACAGGGGCCACCCCTCCCTCCACGGTGACACCACCATAGATACCAACATAAACACTAGTACTCCACACCACTATTAGCTCAATACATTTACAAACCCACAATGCCTTTAACATTCAGCACTATTCAAACTAGTACACACCATTACTGGAATCGCAGTCGAAACCAAATTTGTAGGTAAATGTCATACAACTCAATGTTCATTCAGAAACCAAAAACGCACAAACACATCTTAACCCACATACTTGACACCATGGAACCACGACTGCAACACCAATGCAGACTACGAGATTAAGCGATCTCGCTGATAACACCACGTCACTGTAAACCACGGTTCACAATGTTCCAATGTACGCTCCACACGATTATGGCAATGTTTATACGAAATGGGGGTTTTGAATTTCTAGGGTTTGAGTGGAGGGCACGAATGTTAATTTTGGGAATGTTCTCGTGTGATTAACGTTGCTAGCAATGGATTTCAAAGTAATGAAATTATCATCATCCCCCAACATCGGATGGCAATCCAAAACTTTCCAAATTCCTTAGATACGTTTTGATTGAGCAAGAGAGAAGCTCCAAAAGACCACTATATTACGCTTTATGGACAAATTAGTAAATTTAACATCAACAAAACTCCACAATTATCCCTACAACTTGCAAAACACGCACTAACACTATCGGCTCCAACGTCTTTACCATTTTAATAGAACTTAACAGTTTATAAAATAAATTGTAAAATTAAATGGTGCAACAAACATTGATTTGAAATTTAATGGTGCTTTACCTTTTATTTTTTTATTTTTAAGAATATTTAAAAAAGAAACTCGATGAATGAATGACGCACCAAATTTGCCCAACCAATATGAATGCTGGACGACGAGCACTATGCTTATTAACCGTCTTTCTCTCACTCGCTCCTCATACCTCTGTTTCCACTCTCCTCCGTTTCCAGGTATCACAAACCCCATTCTCTCTCTCTCTCTCTCTGTATGCAATGAGGATCATATACCCTGCTAATTGGTAATAATTTGTTTCCGGCAAAACATGGTTTACCATTTGATTACCTAAAAACCCAGTTCTTGATTCTTTCTTTAATCTGTTCCAGGTCAAGTTATATAGGTAATATTTTCTTTCAAGCAATATAATAAACATGATTTATCATTTGATTACCTAAAACCCAGTTCTTGTTCTTTCTTTCATTTGTTCCAGGTCAAGTTATATAGGTAATAATTTCTCTCAAGCAATATAATAAATATGGTTTATCATTTGATTACCTAAAAACCGAGTTCTTGATTCTTTCTTTAATTTGTTCCAGGTCAAGGTATATATCGAAGTGTACAAGTAAAGTCATGGGTCTTGACAATTTTCCTTTAATTTCCCAAAAAACGCATGCCAATTTTCGGTTGTGCAATGTCTCCAGGTATATTCTCTCTCTCTCACTGAACTCTTGGACGATTTTTTCTCATTGATTTTATCTTTTAATTGTTTATCTTTGAGACCAGTTATACTACAAATTTGCTAGAAATTCGTGCGGAAGATCCTTCATTGCATGTCTTGTTCATCCCTGGAAATCCAGGTTGTATGAATTGTGCCTTATTTTTGTGTTAGTTATATAAGCCCTTTTGTGAGAACTAAGAACTGTGGTGGTTATCACAGGGGTAATTTCATTTTACACTGATTTTCTGGAAAATTTGTATGAGCTACTTGGAGGAACTGCATCTATAACAGGCATGACATGGTTTTATCTTGTTCATGTTCTTGAATTTTCACAGTTATGATTATAATTGTAATTGCTGTTTTAATTAAAATTGTGTTTAGATTATTGTTTTTTTGGAGATGGAGCTGATTTATAATCTTATTGGTTGCATTATTGTTTTGGTCATCAGCTGTTGGTCACATATCCCAGACAGAAAAGGTAAGTACATTGGTTAATATGAGTTAGGAAGTAGCTGCATTATTTTGATTGTGCTGTTATTACGTCTTGACCCTGCTTTCCATTTTTCCCTAATTGATAAACTTCTTATGGAGTTCTAAGTCCAGTGAAAAAGGTTCATTTTAAGCATATACAAGATAACTAGCTGAAAACATTTGGTCAAACCTTTAGGTTAATTTGCAAAGGGAAAGGAAAAGTGAAGGAAAAAGTAAATGAAGTATAACTTATACTGTATATTTTTAATTTTTTTGTTTTTGGGTCACTTTTCCCTTCTATTTTTTTCCCTATGCAAATCTCTCTTCAAATCCATGATTCAAACATAGCGTAATGGACATGAATTGGGAATCATAAATAAGAAATCGGGCAAGTGATTATTATGTTTAAAAATATATGGGGATCAACTATCAAGGAAATGAACATCAACAATATTTTTGCCCATATATTTCACAATCATAATATATTGCATGGTAACTGACTTGGGGCTATAGTTTACATAATTTACCCTCATCTCATGTATTCAAATTTCTTTAAAAGAGACCAAGTTACCCCTACTATGCTTTATTTTACAAGAGACTCTCAATCACTATATCAAAACAGCAACATCCTGACATCCCAAACATGTTAGACATGCTATTGAGAGAATCCAAGAAGAATTTGATAGAGTTTGAAACTTAAAAACTTTTAAGCTCTAATATGTCTAGGAAGTAATTGACATGTAGTAACATCTGAGACATACACAACATTTTTGCAGAAGTATCCAGAATATATAGGTCAAAATGATCTGAAGGGGATTTTCAATACACAATGAAAGTTGGAGTGACACTGTGACCAACAACTACTAGATATCTTCTTCATGATCATCGATAAGCCCTTTTTAGCAATCAATAGATACTAAAATCTACTGAACATTGGTGTCAACTACTTGGCCTCAGGAGTTGAGGTTTATGTAGTTGCATTAGTTTTCAAGGAATTTCAAGCAGTGGAGAGAATACAACTTAGAGCAACTTAGTGGGTCCTTATATCTTGTGCACTCATAATGTTTAATTAATTTGCGAGTGTAGACACAAATTTTGAAATGTGAAGGGCTTCAACACATTTCAGAATTTATGTTACAAATGTCGACAGTTTGGTTTTTGGACTAAATAGTGTTGATTATTTGAATAATAAGTTCCTATTTCCGATATGTACTCCAGATCGTTAATTACACATTTTAATTAAATGAAACCTCTGATTAATGAAGGACAAAAGATTAACAGAAAACAATTTAAGGAAAAGAAATATTTTATTGAGGCCAAGTTTGGCATTTCTAAAAAAATTTAAAAAGTCAAAAAGTCACTATCCTATTTGAGTCACATCATCTTATTTAAGTCACATCACCTCTCTATCACATCACTTCAAACCCAACCCATATCCATCTCATATTTCATAAAAATTCAAAAAGTACACTTATTTAGGACACCCCAAACAACCCCTGAATTGTTGTGGGTTTTGAACTCCTGAATACAAAGTACAATTCTTGGGCTTGGAACCTTTTACCTATTGATCGCCATTATGCGTTTGTAGCGTAGGCTCTTGAGTTCTCCTGGTTTCTCTTCTTCTTCCTCATGAAGACTTCTTTGTTTTCTCTCTCTCTTTCTCTCACATTTCTAATTCTTGATCTTTTATTTCTCCTCTTGATTTTTGGTCCTTTGATCTCTCTGATCTTCTCTTTTCAATCCTCTCATTTTCTCCTCCCCTTCTTGAGTAATGGTCCACATATTTATAGAGGGCCATCTATGTGGTAAGAGCGCACTATCTTCAATTTGAATTTCAAATTGAGTGATAACACCATTTGAATTTAGGCGTCATCATATATGATTAATCGTCTATCTGATCAACCGTATTGATTCTTTGCATTTCATCCCCTATTGTGTCGTTGTTGTAGGCTCTACAAGTGTCATCATTTGGTTGAGCATACTGTATTTCAAATATTGTAGGCTCCACGTGTTGTTTGAGTATTTAGAATAACGACGATAACCAAACCAAACCAAACCTAACCAAACCAAATCTTAAGTCCCATCAAATGAGGTCGGTTACATGAATCCTTCTTCTTCACACGGCCCTATCAAAAGTCATTTCGTTAGTCAAATTAAGTAGATCCATATCTCTATTTACAACGCTAGCCAACGTTAATCTAGGCCTACCCCGTCCCCTAACACTCCCATTTATCGTTACAGTATCGCATCTCTTCATTACTGCCTCCGTTGGTCTCCGTTGAATGTGACCAAATCATCTCAATCGATTCTTTCTCATCTTCTATCGGTGCTACTCTTACTCATTCCCGAATGCATTCATTCCTAATTCCGTCTTGTCTAGTCTTGCCACACATCCACCTTAGCATCCTCATCTCAGCCACACTCATTTTATCTACATGCTGTTTCTTGATTGCCCAACACTCCATCCCATACAAGATCGTTGATCTAACAACCATTCTATAGAACTTACCTTTTAATCTAGTGGGTATTCGTTTATCGCACAGTACCGCAAACACACTTCTTCACTTACACCATTCCGCTTTAATCCTATGGGCCACATTCACATCAATCTCCCTCACTGTTGTGATAATCGATCCTAAATAACGAAAATGTTCACTCTTAGGCAATTCTTGATTCTCAATCTTCACTTCTCCTCTGCTTTCATTGTTACTATTACTAAATTTACACTTCATGTACTCTGTCTTAGTTCTGCTTATCCGAAATTCTTTAGATTTAAGAGTTTTTCTCCAAATCTCCAACTTTATGTTAACTCCTTCTCTAGTCTCATCTACTAGCACAATATCGTCTGCAAAAAGCATACGCCATGGCACGTTATTCTAAATATTTCTTGTCAACTCATCCATAACTAAAGCAAAAAGATAAGAACTTAAGGTAAATTCTTTGTGTAACCCTACAGTGTCTCTAGCAGGTGATCTAATAGTGGTCACCACCCCTTCATACATGTCCCTAATCACATCAATGTAACCTTTTGTCACCATTTTCTTCTCTAACACTCATCATATTATATCCTGGGGTACTCTATCATATGCTTTCTCAAGATCAGTAAACACCATATGAATGTCTCTTATCTTTTCTCTATACTTTTTCATTACTCTCCTCAAAAGATAAATTGCTTCTATTGTTGACCTGACAGGCATAAACCCAAATTGATTCTCTGAAACCTCTGTTATATCTCCCAATCGGCGTTCCATCACCCTCCCCCACACTTCAACGAATCATGTTGATCCTTTTAGGCAGTGATTACCTACAACATTCCTATTGTAGGCTGTATACGTGTCATTGACTGATTGACCGTATTTAACATAAATTCGGTTGAAATTTATGAGCCAACAGCGGGTGATGCTTTGACTGAAGGTCACTAGCATGTGGATCTCTATGATCTTGATGATCCTGCCATAACCACTCAAAAATGAGTTCTTTTACATTCTTAAGGCCTTGTGACTAGAGTTTTATGCTTGAAACTGTGCACTTGTTTGCTGATTGTGATTGTAAATTGTAATATGGCTTTATTCAAATTGAGCAATAAAACTAATTTTGAAGTTTTGGCATGTATTGATCACTCACTTTTGGGTATCATTCTTAAATGGAGTCTTCTTTCCTTGTTAGAACTGGGAGCACGGAAGGTTGTTCTCATTGGAAGAACAAATTGATCATAAGGTAATATTTCATGTGGCATATAATTTTGAGAAGATTTATTTATTTATTTATTTTTTCTGTGCGCACAATAGAAGGCATGCTAGTTGTTTAAATTTGCAAGTTCTTGTTCCTTTGGAATTGAGATTGTTTGCAAGCGAGAATATTAAAAATTTAGGATGATTAGATTGTTATGTGTCCACTATAAAGCATACAATGGTATTTGTCAGATTGA